AATGAGAATTTAACGAGTCTCACAATACAATTACTTGGGAACTATAATCAATGAGTCGTGGGACAATACCCAAGAGATTAAATGTCACATCGGAAAGGCAAAGAGTGCATGACCTCACCCTAGAAACAAAAATATTGCTCCTTAAATGTTATGTGTACTCAGTGCTTCTGTAGGAGTAGAAACGTGGACATTAAACACGTAAACTCTATCAAAACTTCAGGCTTTTGAGCTATGGTCATACAGAAGGATCTTAAAGATACCATGGACAGACAAAGTCACCAATGAAGAAATACTGCGGAGAATGAACACAACTGCGAATTTGGTCAACATCGTGAAGGCCCGTATGCTGCAGTACTTGGGCCATATAATGAGAAATTAAGGCAGATACGAGCTACTTCAATGCATTTTACAAGGTAAAATTGAAGGAAAAAGGGCCCCAGGACGAAGAAGAATATCCTGGCTTGCTAACCTGAGAGCGTGGTATAGAAAGACCTCAACACAGCTATTGCATATAGCGTCCAACAAAGTCATCATAGCCAGAATGATCGCCAACGTTCGGAACGGACAGGCACCCTAAGAAGAAAAAGAAGTTGATTTAGGGCCATCCTTATTTCATAGTCGGTTATGTCCAGTATTTCTTCTGAGCCGGTGTTAATTGTTGTTCGTTCAGTTTTTTGCTTTGAGTACTTTTATGTTGAAGTTATCTTGTATTATATTTTTTATTAGATTGTTATTATAATTTCAGTGATCGTTCCTGATTTTTTCTTTACGGTTTTGTTTAAACTTTTGAAGCTGTCCGAAGTTCGATCTGTTTTGTTTCGTCTTTCTTGGAGTAGTTTAATTGTATTAGGTTGGAGTTTAGATGTTTTGGCTGTTTTCGTCTTTGAGCATATTTTCTTAACCGAAAATGAATCAATCCCTGCCCTCCGCAGATTACAGGTGTTTCCTGACCCGGAAAACTAGTACCTGCTTAAAGTCCCTTATCCAGGTTCACAGATGAAGTCCACAACGACAGCCACGGCGTGGAAGAATTCCTTCGGTACGGTGTGAATGGCGGAAGTAGAAATCCCTTGATTTTAGGGATTCTATAGAATCACTATATATGATGAAGAGCAGCAGCTATTATCAGTATCAGCTCAAGGCGCAGAGAAAATAATCCAGGATCGACTTAAAACTGGACTATCACAAGTATGAATGGAGCAGTTTAAATGGTTGTGATACTGCGATGCGGAAGGCAACGGGAAACCACCTCAGTATTATTCCCTAGTTCAATTATAATGCTACTATCATATGATAAGCAAAGGTATACTGATCATGGTCCTCGGACACCAAGATCCAGCAGGAGAAGACAAGCACACAGTGCTTACCAGGCTGTTATTCAGAAAAATCCCTGTGATAATGGAAAAAAAATAATAATAAAATCAGGTATTCTATTCCGAAAAAGAAGGCACTAACCACCGAAATGGCGTCGCATACATTGTACATAAAGAAGTTTCTTATTGTATTAAATCTGTAAATTACATTTTGGACAGAGTTATCGTAATACAATATATCGTAACTAATCAATTAAACTCAAAACCAGTAGATATAAATCTGATCAAAGTTTATGTGTCCACAGCCAGCAGTAGTGAAGATGACATAGATAATTTTTATGATGATATAAAGAAGGTAATGAGAATTTAACTTTTCTGAAGATTTTTTTTTTGTTTTTCGGCAAGACAAAAATTGGTTACGATATTGCTGTTCAATGTTTGCATACAGTCGTGATTAGTGACTCGTTCAAGCGCTTCCAACTACAACTGTTGCCGAGAGGCGTCGATCGGGATGGAATGGCCCGTATCTGGCTCAGCGGACTTCTTGCGGTCCTGGGAATCGGACCGGAAGGTGGTGCGAATATCTACCATTTTTCCTGGATGCAGTTCGTCACGTTTCTTTCGTATTCGCAGACACGAGATACGTGATATATAGCGACTTATGTATGATCTCAGAGGAAATATCACAAGTCAGTGAGTTCGAGAAATACAGGAAAATACCCAAAAGGTGAAATAACACTCATATAAATGTTCTACAATAAGTAGCAGAGTAATAATGATCGAAATGAATAATAAATGATTGTGTGCACATAACATAATGACATTATTAAATTTGATTTTCTTTTTCTGTCTGTCAAAACTTATTAGTAAGGTTTCCATGTCTCTTCTATTTTTTTTATATTTATCTTAGGTTAGTTTGACAGAGAAAGTGTCTACGTTTATGCAAACCTTCATTGCGAATTTTGATATAATATGGAGAAATGTTTCGTTTGCAGTTAATAAATAAGCAACAGAGTTTATGTTATTAAGTAATTAAAAAAAACCAAACATAAATAATTTTATCTCATTTGAACTTGGAATAATCCCTTTAATATGTGTAACTTTTAAGAACTTTTATTGTTGTTATTCTTTTATTTAAAAGAAGATTACTGTATATAGCACTAAGATTTTCAATGTCTTTTTTTTGTTTAAGGTGTTTTGTGTAGTTTTAATTAAACACATTTCTAGAAACAGTCTTTTGTTGTAATTTCTTTCCCTGAAGGTTTGCATAAACGTAGACACTTCCTCTGTCAAACTAACCTAAAATAAATATAAAAAAATAGAAGAGACAAATTTTGACAAAAAGAAAAAGAAAATAAAATTTAATAATGTCAATATGTTAATTAATTTTGCTAATTTAACAATCCTCACGAGGGTAAGCCTATTGAAGATATAACAACTTCATTGTTCTAATGTAGTTTTTATGTTTATTTTTAGTACGTTTTGAAAAAGAGTACAATAAACTCGAAAGCTTAACAAACCTAAAAGAGTTTTACTGAAAGACCAATATTGACATAGTCATACTCACGTAGTCACTAAAGCCCTTTCTAAGAGAATATATATATATATATATATATATATATATTATATATATATATATATATATATATATATATATATATATACAAATAATACAGTTTATTAGGGTTGCAGTCAGAATCTTGGCCGGGATGTTAAAAAAACACTCTTTTGACTTTTTGTCGAGCTTTCAGAATGGTTTTATTCCTTTTTCAAGACACTGTAAAAGACAATTATGTAAATATTTGAAAAATATCACAATTCTTGAGTGTAACTTACTAGTCGTTGAGATTATTTTTGTAAGCATTTACACTCAACATTTATACCACACATTAAAATATACAATTATGGACATAATACTTCATAAAATTTTTAAAATTTGTTGTAAAAATAGTAAAACTTGATTGATGGCATGTTTTACTGGTGTATATTAACTCATACAGAGAATGGAAAGAAAAAACAGTGTAATTAATGTGTAATTAGGTGTAATTGATGTTATCTTTCTTTACAAGAAATACTGGAGGCCCTTCTTAGGTAAATATACTTTTTAAACCTGTCTTAATGGTATGCAACATATTATACAGAGGTGTAATTTTTGTACTGGTAAATATTTATTTTATTTTTGGTGTTTTTCTAGTAAATAACAATAAATGTTACTTAATTTGTCTATATCGGACTTTTTGTTGATGCAAGATGTGCTAGATTTTATGAAACTAATTTCCAAAAAAAACACGTTTTAAATGGTTCTTTTCTTTTGCCAAAATACAGGAATCATCGAAATTGAATTCATGTTTTAGAGTTAGTGCATGTTCTGTCAATGCACATGCATTGATTTTTTTGGTTTTTATATCACTGCGATGTGATATCACCCTGCTGTGGAAATTACGAGATGATTCTCCTATGTAAAATAGGATAAGAAATAAAATGCAGAATCTAGGTGGATGATTACACTGTACTTAGAGACGTATAATACAAGGGCAAGCTCGAACTGGCCGATGATAGAAAATCCACCTTCTTTTATACAAGAAAATCCTTTGTCTTTTGGGATTATGTGTCCGGTGCGCTGATTGGCTATTTGGGATTATGTGTCCGGTGCGCTGATTGGCCTCTTATTATAAAAAGAGGTTTTAGAAAAAATATTTAAAATGATCTTATTGTTCTTAAAAAATCTACAAAATCGTTTTTTCAGTACCTCATACCTACTCGTAGCTTAAAGCAAACCGAGTTATGGGTAAAAAACTAACCCCTTTTTGGGAGATATCAGAACTCGTAAGATACACATAATGTGCTATTAAGGCACAGACATACTTTCACCCATTCTTAATCACGAACTGATCAAGAGTAGTAAATCGATGTGAAGAACCGCTATTTTATTTTTACGACGTCATCTTGTGGCGCTAGTTTCATGACGATCGCCTTAGCATTTTACTATAAAGAAAAAAGTAAAACAACGCCAGTATATAAGCTTTAAAAAAATCCAATTTTTTAAAAATTACTAAAATATCATTGTTGTTCCATTAAAAAAAAATGAGAAAATTGTGTATTTGAAAATAGTAAACATAATGTGTATTTTGTATGACTGGATGTCAAAGATATTAAATTAAGTATTTAAAACGTTGACATGTCTAGTATCAGTAGTCATGTTGTTAAGTGTATGTATTTTTCTCAATAAAATGTAACTATTCCAAAAATTATTAACTATAAAAATATACAAACTCATCATATTTTAAGAAAGTATATTTAAAAATGGTTGAATATACAGGTTATTCCATTTATAAAACACAACTTTGGTTCCTTCCGTTGTTCTGACTGACCCTGTATAATCGAAAATAATTTTAAATTATAGATGTCTTTGACATACATCAATTTTATTTAGACGAACGCTAGTTTGTATTATTTATTTTTCAGTCTCCATGTTATAGTTTTAATAGAAACAATTGTATACTTGAAAGTTATAACCAAATAGCATATAAAAATAGAACCCAGCATATTATCTAAAATCCCGTTTTTTGTACGTTTCTAAAAAGTATTTTTGTTTTGTCTCATATTTAATATTTTCCCAGAGTTTTCCAGATTTTCTCTACGAATACATGCAACCAATTGTGCCAATTATCAGTACAACATTTTTAGGTCAATGGAACTATTACTTTAAATGAAAACATAGCGGACAATGGTGGAGTAAGGGAAGCATACGGAGCTCTGAAAAAAATGATGCTGAGAAAAAATATCACTAAAGGAACAAAAGATTTCACTCCAGAACAAGAATTTTTTATTGGATTTGGGACTGTAAGTATACTCATTGTAGAAAGTTTATACTTAAAGCTTTTATTGATTTTTTCTGAAATGCTGATAACTAGAAAAATATTTGCTCAGTCGTATAGTCAGAGACACTTACGTCATTAATATAGTGGGTGATGTTTATGTCACCTAGTATTTAAAATTGTCATACAATAATAAATTTTATTTATAATTAATAAACAAAATAATCATAAAAAATAATGTAGTAAAACTAACAGTAAAACAGTAACAGTAAAAAACAACTATTCTATAAAGCCTCTCTCAATTTCTACATACAGTTGAGTCCATGGTTCTTTGCCTGTGCGTCATCATTACACACACAAACACACACACAGACACACATACATACACACACATACACACACACAACAATGTTTGTAGAACTCCAACTCCGATTGGCATGTGTGTTCCAATGGAACAGTGAGACCCACATGTCCGAAGATCAAGCCAGTCACACTCCGTAATGGAGTGGTACCTATCTGACCCCCAAGGTATAACCAACCACCTCTCCCCATCGCAGGACATAACGAATGAGGAGGCTTTGTATTTTTGGATGCCCTCGGTAATGGGACATTCGCTGTTTTACTTTATGTGGTTAAGCCACCTGATTTAAGGGGTAGCTAGAAAGGCTTTTCTTCCTATGAATGATTGAAGTTAATTTTTACATGACTTTGGACTTGTGCCTCAAAATGTGTGTTCCGAACAGCCAGGCACCAACCGTCGGTGACTCCCCGCTCAGGTTGTGTATGCTTGGTCACTCAGCTGCCGAATTGGCATAATAAGTTTTTTTCTCCTCGTCGGCTAAGCACCCAAAGGGTCTGACCATCAAGCCCACGTTTGTCGGTATGTGACCTCGATGCTCAAGTTCCGCGAACTTGGTCATTTTGACCTACCTGAAGTGCCTGTAAGCTGAACAGCTTCTCTGCCTGTTTCTACTTTTTTGTATTGTATTCACGCTGCATGATTGCTGTAACAGAAGGTTATAGGTATTAAAAATAAAAATAACTAAATAAAAGAAATAAAATATAAGGATAAGGTATTTTTTTGGGCCTTTTATTACTGCATTACTCTATATCCAGCTAGCTGCTGTCTGGGCCGCCTATGTATGGTCTTTTGGTTTTCGTCATAGTCTGTCAACTCCCTTAATAGTCTACTAGGATGGTTTCTGAGATCGTTGAAAATTATCTGTACTTTTTCGTCCATCGTTCTCAGGATTCTCTTTTGTTCTGAGTCCCTAAATACATACCTTAATGGAACGTACCTAGGTATATTGCCTCTCTGATCATATGGTTCTGGACTATTTGTATTTTGTTTCTGTTAGATTTGCAAGTGTGTCCTCATACGGCCGAGCCATATATTAGTGTTGGTAAAATTACACTGTTTGCCATTCTAATTTTTGTTTTAATCTTAGTTTACCCTTCCGACCTAATAATGAAAAAGTCAGCCTTTTGTCCAACGTTGCGACTAGGTATTTGACTTGATTTGACTATTCAATTTGCGTAGCAAATAGGGATAGAACCCCATTTGGTTCGCCTCTTCTTTTTTGGTACATGACGGCCTGTGTTTTGTCAGGATTGACAAATATCTTCCATTGTATTCATCAATCTTGTAGTTCGCTAAGTGCCCTTTGTAGGTGTCCTGTTGCTAGATCTGGCTAGATCTGGGTATCGCTGTCTCGTCTGCGTATATATTTAGCAACAATATGGGTTCGGTTGGGATTTCTGCTGTGTATTTGGTGTATGGATACGGTGACAAACACCGCTCCTTATGGCACACCAGCCTCCATAGCTCTAGCTTCAGACAGGGTTGGTCCTATCCGAACTCTGAACCTTCTGTCGGCTAGGTATGACAAGTAAAGAGATGTCATCGCCTCACTATAACCATATTGGTTTATTTTATAGAGCAGGCTCTTGTGCCATACACTATCAAATTATTTAGTGACATCTAGAAGGGCGGTTGCTCTATATTTCTTTTTATTGAACCCTTTTGTGATATATTCCGCTAGACGCAGTACCTGAAGTTCACATCAGTGTTCGGATCTGTATCCTAACTGTGCTTCAGGTATTGTTCCAATTTCTTCTGATTCTTGTTTTAGTCTAGCTAGTATGACCCGCTCTGCAATTTTGCTTATTGCTGGTAATAAGCCATCGGCAGATAATAATTATGTGGAAATGTGACATTTTTCCCTGTTTTTTTTTGATAATTATTACGTGAGCTTCCATCCATCTGCCAGGAAAATGTCTTAATCTTAGGATGTGGTTGATTAATTTTTTTATGTATACTATTACCATTGTTTAAATATGACCTATTACTTTTGCTGATAGATTCTTTAGAGCTCTATTCGTAATATGGTTTGGTCCTGGAGCTTTTTTTGGCGTTAGTACGTCTGATCAACTATCCGACTTCCTCAGGGCAGGTATGGGTAATATCTATGTTGCCTCTTCTTTTTATTTCCTGTATCTTATTTTCACTTTTTCTGTGGAATCAGGATGATAATTTTTCTTACATCCTCCTTCTAGCGTGTTTTTCATAACTTCTGCTTTCTTCTTCTGCGTACAGAATTCCATTTTCTTCATGTAAGGGTAGAATCGGTTTTTTTATCTTTTCTTGGTATTTTAGATAGCTTTCAAAATGCAGATTTATTTATGTTTAGTTGCTGGATATGTGCAGTCATCATTTAAAGCATACAATATAATGTAAAATGTTTTGCTTTAATATTTTGCTTTTTTTATTTTTATTTTTAATGTTTTGCTTTAATATTATAAATATAAAATAATATTTACAGTGGGTCATTATATATATATATATATATATATATATATATATATATATATATATATATATATATGTGTGTATAAATTCTGGTTTAAACCGATGTTTATCAAAATTAACATTATATTTGTTCAATCAATCTATAATCTCCGATTTTAACCATTTAGCAGAACGTTGTTTATTTATGATTTCACTATGGTAGTGCGTTGTCCATGACAGTCAAAAATTAGTGTTCTAAATTAGGAAGTAATTGTGTACTTATCCATTTAGTAAATATTATAGTATTCATTTCACCGTGATAATCTGCAGTCGAGAATTTGGAACAAAATAACAAACTGGCTTCTGAAATACAACCTTTGGCTGAACCCGCATGAACCACAATAAATCTTTTTTCATCCTTATCATCGGGTTTACGTACAATTCTGCTGTTGTCATCCTGCCACGACACCATTTAATTTCCCCTAGAAAAAATCCACTTTTGGATTTTTTGTCTTTCTTGTGGATACGTGCTATTTCTGTTTTCCATGCATTTACGTAAGAAACACGCTCGTTGTGCTGAGATATGAGTTCTTTCAATTAAAGCTCTTCGATGATTATCTTTTTTTTAATGTAAAGCCCAAGTCTTTTAATATTCTTCTCAAAGATGTTTTACTTGTAGAAACAGATTCTTTATCCTGCAGCTCATTGATTAACGCTTTACGAGTTACATGTTTCTCTAAAAAGTTATTTATTTTAATATAATACTATACCGTTTTAAATAAAATGAACGGTACTAATTTATGTAAATATATTTATTTATAAGGTTACAACACGATTAACGATCAACTGACTATAACTCATAAAAGGTCTACTTATAAATAAAAGTTATTGTGTAGTAGAATATTCTAGAGTAGTCTATCTCTAATTCATTTGTTTGACCGATCGATGATGCAATACTATAACATTTAAGTCCTACTTGTGTTTCTTAACAGAAAGTTGGTATACTTACTATCCTGGTACATATTCTTTATTGTATTTCGAACTACTATTTTATTGCCCTCGGATAAATCAGTAGTTTTCGTTTTTAAACGAGTCTGCTTTTTCCCGGAGATGATAAAATAGGATTTTTTCTTTTCTTTTTCATATGTTGTATACTGTTTTTCTCATTAATTTAAGTGCAACTGCTACCCTCTAAAACAAGGTTAAAATATCAATTTTTTGGTTAAAACTGTGAAAAATCAAAAATAAAAAGTTCATAATTATAAATATTTTGTTATATAAAAAAGTTTATAAATAAAAAATATTCATAATATATAATATGCTTGTCATCATTAAAGCTTTATAATAGTATATATTTGAAAATTGTACTTTTTGTACCTCTTGAACAGATCAGATGACAACGGTTCCAACGGTGCCCAATTCATTTTTTCTAATTCGTACTCGATTAAATTTAAAAAAGAGTTCTTTCGCTTGTGAGGTAAGAGTTTTTCCACGCATGGCGAGTGGTTTACCCCTAAAAAGATGCTTAGAAACGGAATATACCGACTAAGTTTTTTCCATTGCACACTAATTTCTACAGCACCAAACATTTGTGTTTTCGATTGTATATATGTTTCAAGTTCAAATGTATGTTTTTTTAATTTTCCAAGTGGCCCCAACATTGGTTTTTGTTAATAATTGGTGTCAACATTTACGAAGTGTATCAATGCCGTACAAAAATGTTTGATCGTAATATCCCACCTATCAGAGGGAAATTAATTTTCCTCTAAAAACACATGTACCGTGAAAAATGTACGGCATGTCCAAAAATGTTATTATTGTATGCAACTAAATTTAAATCAGTGAGTTTCATATTGGCTCAAATCACCCACCTTGTAGTATTTAAAAATAGAGGTGTACGCCCTAGATTTCTCACTCCTGTACCAACCGATATGTACGGCACTGCAAAAATGGTAATCTAAATAACGATATGAAACTATGTGTATGAATGCCGTACTGTATCAAATTGCCAAAAATATGTTCCGAAAATCAAAGATTGTTTTGCTACTGGTAATATTTTTTTAAGGCGTTATGCCGCTGGTCATTATTTTTGTATTATAACCTAGGTAGGTATTTTGTACCTACCTAAGAACTATGTTTGGCCAAACTGCCCCCCCCCCCTTTAGTGGTAACTTTACTCTGCTTGTGTAGTCACCTGTACCGATAAAAATTGACAGAATAGTTTCTAAAGTTGTTATTACATATTGTAGTATTGATTTATGTGCTTCATGCTGGGTCAACTGACCAATTAAAAATGTCCTATGGGTTTGTAGTCTATAATGATGATTTTCTCACTTTATTTATTGTGTGAGAGTTGTCTTATTGTCATATCGATATTTGACGAGAATGTTATACATTCTCAATTTTCATTCCGTTTCATCATACATTCTCAATCAATTATCTTGTTAAGGAGACTCACACCATATTCGAAAGATATTCTAGGCGACTACAAATGCGGCTTTCGTGCTGAAAGGTCAACTATAGATCAGATATTTACCATCCGACAAATATTAGAAAAAAACTGGGAATTCAACCGCGATGTGCACCAAATTTTCATAGATTTCCAGAAAGCATATGATTACATAAAAAGAACCAAATTATGGATAGCAATGTTAGAAATAGGAATACCAAGAAAATTAGTTGAATTAACGCAAATATGCGTGACACACTCATATGCGGAAGTAAAGATAGGAAGCAGAACATCGATGCCATTTGGTATAAATTCAGGACTTACGCAGGGGACCCCTTGTAACCGTTGCTGTTTAATTTTGCTTTAGAATATGCAATAAGTAAAATATCGTCTGAGCTGACAGGAGGATTTGCTGATCAAGGATCAAAACGGTTGCTTTGATGATCTGCGTTTGCTGATGATACAGATGCGTCACGCATTCTACAAGAGACGTGAGAGAGATGTTTTCACAGCTTGAGGAGGAAACAGGTAGTCTGAGTCTCCGAATAAATTAAGAAAATACGAAATACATGGTAGTAACCAAAAATCCAAGACCAAGAGTTAGTCAGAACATCAGTATTAATGATCACAGCTTCGAAGTAGTAAAGGAGTTTTAATACCTGGGGCGATAATCACAGCTGACAACCACATAGAAAAAGAGATCTCAGCAAGGATAGCTGCAGGAAATAGAGCATTATACTCCTTTTCAACATTATTAAGATCGAAGCTGCTAAAAAGAAAATCTAAATTAACACTGTACAAGTTGATTATTCGCCCAATTATTACATATGGCAGTGAAACATGGACTCTCAGCCAGCGGGAAATCAATAAGCTTCTAGTATTTAAAGGTTCTTAGAATAATATTTGGCCCTCAAAGAGATGAATTCACAGGGGATTGGAGAAGACGCCGCAATGCTGAATTGGTGAATCTGTATGGAACTGAAAACATAGTTAGACATATCAAGGCAAACCAAATAAGATGGGCAGGTCACGTGGTACGATCAGAGGATGACAGAGTGTTAAAGACAGTGTTTTATGAAAGACCAGATGGTAGAAGATCAGTAGGCCGAGCGAAAAAAAGATAGAAGGATGATGTTGAAGTCGATTTATCTAGAATTGGGATACAACAATGGGAAATAGAAGTGCAAGATCGTAGAGGATGAGGGCAATAGTGGATGCGGCGAAGACTCACCCCGAGTTGTAAAGCCAGTGAAGAAGAAGAAGAAGTTATACATTCTCAAAATACAAATAAAACAACGAGAGATCTTGATGAAGGGAAGAAAGTTGCTGCGATAATAACAAACTATACAAATCGACTGCAGTGAAACATAGAAGGAAAAACAGAAAAAATAAAAGTAATATTCGCTAAACTTAATTAGAGTCAAAATCTTTAAATCTATTTATACTAAGATTAAGTTGAGAGTTCGAAATCTTGTTTTCAACCATAAAGCAAATCAAGAGCTTCAATGTGTATGGAGACATTCATGTATTGCGTTGTTTCAACACTGAAAATATCCAAATGTTCAATCAGGTTGTTGGGGATACTGAGCCCGTTTTAACATAATATACGAAATTTCTAGAGCGATCCTCTACATGTATATGTAGAGTAAAAAGGTCTAGCATAACCTCTAAAACTGCACCTTTTCTTTTATCAACACTAATAATACTGAAAGAGTAAACCAAAACTTTTTAAATTTTTTATAATCAAAAATTTTAATTTGAATTTTCTTGAACTAGGTTTAAACCATCGAGCAAAAAGATAAAAGAGGGAATGTAATTCTTATGAAACGGAGACAAAAGAGTGGCCTCTGATGGCGGACATATCCGGAAATGCGAATGCGCCAAATTTAAATTTTCCGACACTTATTAACAGTAGCTATATAATATTTTTCAGAATGTGTCTTAGACGAAAAAGTTTTAATTAATTATTAACGGTAATAGTCTAAAATGCGACACAATTGTTAAAAAACTTCAATATAAATAAGATTTCATGTGACATTTGGGACAAACAATAACATAACCCAACTAAATTTAACGTCAAATAAGGAGAGAGACTCTCTTTCCTTGTTTAAAGTAGCCTCTAAAGATCGCACTTCCTGTCTAATAATACTATTTTTCCCCACTACCTTTACATTCCCTCTTTTGTCTTTTTGCTCGATGGTTTAAACACAGACAAGTTTTATTTTTAAATGGTTTTAAATACAGTTGTTATTTTAATATATTTTAATTATTTATTTAAGCTGTGGTGTAACAATCCTTCCGTTAACTATCTACAACAAATGTCCACTAACGAACACGCTAATTCGAAATATAGAGTAAATGGAGTAGTTTCAAATATGGAGGAATTTTCTGAAGCATTCAACTGTTCTGTTGGAAGCAACATGAATCCGTCCAATAAATGCAGGATCTGGTAAAGATTCGTTAAATAATCCTTAATTACTAAAATAATAATTAAATCCATGCGTTGCACGGAATGTAAATAAAAATGTACAGAGTGTCTTAAAGTTCTGGTTTAAAAAATTGTGAAAATATGGGTAATAAAAAACTTTTGCACAATTTATAAACCTATTTTTATTTCTTTCCATATTCCCTTTTTTATACATACATTATACAATCATGTATTTATTATTATTTAGGCATATTTTAAAGATTCTCATATCCCGAGAATATAGTCCAGTCGTCAGAGAGTTGACCCCTAAAAATCATACGAACAAGATAAATTTTACCAAAAATATTAATTTTGGGTCCCCAAGAAAGATGTAAAAAAGTTTACTACTTTTACCCCGGGCTTCCCTCTAAAACCCCCCTCGTAGGGAGGTAAAAACCCAAAAAAATCGATTTGTCAAGAATCTGTACGCTGTAGAAAAAAATTTTTAAATAAAAAATGTAGCTGAGATGATTTTAAACAAAAATGTTTATAAACACTTTTTGTATAAAATAAACCGTTCTCTCAGAAACAACGTTTGAATCGACCGTCAGTTTTTATTGTCATTTTTGTATTTTACCGCGAATAAACTAAGTTTTTATAAAGCTGTTTATTCCATTTTTAGAGATCAATATCTTTAAAACCTATGGCATCAAATTTCAATTTTCATTTGTGGCAACAAATATGAGGCATTTGGAATATGAATTAAAAACGCAGAATTTAATGTTTTATATTTCAAAAAATAATAGAACAAAACAAAATTCCTCAAGAATGGGGATCAAGCATCCTAATACCTCTCTGCAAACAGGGAGATAAATGGGACCCGGAAAATTACAGAGGAATTAATTTATTAAACACAAAACTAAAATTAACAACCAAAGTGATAACAAATAAACTGAATGAAATTATAACACTAGTAGAAGAACAACAAGGTTTCAGGTCGAGAAGATCATGCACCCACGCTGTATTTATAATGAGGCAATTGCAAGAGAAATCATTAGAATACAACAAACCGGCATATCTATGTTTTGTGGACCTTACAAAGGCATTTGATTGGGTCAAATTAAAAGACGTTATCCTCTTGCTGTACGCAAGAGAGATACCTCTAGGAATAATCAAAAAGTTCAAAAATATATATAAAAACAACACAATAAAAGTAAAAGTAGAAGAAGAACTAACCTACCCTATTAAAGCTGCCAATGGGGTAAGACAGGGAGATTCATTAAGTCGTCTATTGTTCAACCTGATTACGGATAAAATAATAAAAAAAGTAAGAACTAAAAAAGGATACCAAATGGGAGAAAAACAACTTAAAATAATCTGCAGACAACTACGCAACACTACTCTCTCAAAGTGAAGATAATTTACAACGTATGCTGCATCAATTTAATATAACCGCCAGAAAATTTAACATGTAAATTATCTATATAAAAAAATTACTAAGATGTAAATTGGAGCTGGAAGGTCAAATAGTAGAACAAATGATGGAGTTTAAATATCTAGGCATCACATTATCTAGCTACTTCTTCTTCTTCCTATGCCGTCCCCATTAACGGAGGTTGGCGACCACATTTTTAAAAGCTTCTCTGTCTTTTGCAACGTGGAATAATTCGTCTACAGTCATGTTTGTCCAGTCTCGAATATTTCGCAGCCATGACTTCCTCTTTCTACCTATTCCCTTTTTGCCATCGACTCTACCCTGCATGATGACCTGCAGAAGACTATATTTATTATTTCTTAGTATGTGTCCAAGGTATGCAGTCTTGCGTACTTTTATCGTTCTAACAATTTTTGACTCGACCATTCTTCTCAGCACTTCCTCATTGGTGACCCTGGCAGTCCATGGGATTCTCAACATTCTCCGGTATATCCAAAGTTCAAAGGCTTCAATCTTTTTAACTATTTGCGCTTTTAGTGTCCATGTTTCTACCCCGTACAATAGTTGCGACCAGACGTAACATTCAACAAACCTCAGTCTCAGCGCAATATTCAGATTTTTGTCACAGAACAATTGTTTGAATTTTAAGAACGCTGCCCTTGCCATTTCTATTCGTACCCGGATCTCTTGGTCTGGATCTAATTCTGTGTTGATGTAAGCTCCCAGATATTTATATTTTGTCACTCTCTCTATTTGCTGTCCACCAAGAGTTAGTTGTTCATTATTTATTGGACTCCTTGATACTATCATAAATTTGGTCTTATCTGTGTTGATGTCAAGTCCCATTTGAATGCATTCACTATTTATTGCATCTAGTAAAGTTTGTAGATCTTCTATACTCTCAGCCATAATTACCGTGTCATCTGCAAATCTCATGGTGTTTATGATTTCTCCACCAATTCTTATTCCCTCTTTTCTTTCCCATAAGGCTTTTCTGAATATGACCTGTGAGTACACGTTGAAAAGCGTCGGAGACAAGACGCATCCTTGCCTAACCCCTCTCGCAATCGGTATATTATTTGTTTCTATATCGTTCACCTTTACTACTGCTTTCTGGTTCCAGTATATAGCCTTAATAAACTCAATGTCTTTTTTGTCTAAATTGATGTTTTTTAATTCATCTATTAACTTCATATGCTGCACTCGGTCAAAGGCCTTCCTAAAGTCTATGAAGCATACATATGCACTCTTGTTATATTCCCGACATTTCTGCAAGAGTACCGTCAACGCAAATAATGCCTCTCTTGTACCCATGCCTCCTCTGAAGCCAAACTGAGTTTCATCTATCTGTTCCTCACATTTCTTATAAATTCGGTTTTGAACAATTTTCAAAAATATCTTTAAAGGGTGGCACATTAGGCTTATCAATCTATAGTCATTACATGATTTGGGATTGTTGTTTTTTGGTAGAGGTAAAAATATCGAGTTAAGCCATTCTTCCGGGATGTTGCCCTCTACATATATGTGGTTGAGAATTCGGGTGAGTCTCTTTATATTACCGTCATCTAAGGCTTTTAACAGTTCAACTGGAATTTGATCAGGACCCGGTGCTTTTCCTTGTTTTGCATTCTGTAGGCATTCTTTACTTCTGAGGGTAAAATTTGTAGGTATTGTTTTTCTTCACCTATATCTTGTTCATTTTCTCTCTCGTCATGGAAAAGATGGATTATATATTGTTCCCATACTTCCTTTATTTTGCTCTCTTCAGTAAGTATTTCTCCATTATTATCTCTTGTTATGAGTGTTCTTCTTTGTCTGGTGTTGCCTGTAAGTTCTTTAATTTTTTTATGTAAGTTTGAGGTGTCATGTTTGTTGCTGAGTTCTTCCAATTCCTGGCATTCTTTGTTCATCCATTCCTCCTTAGCCTTTCTGATTTCATATTTGATTTTATTCTTGATGGTTTTATATTTATTTTCATCTTTATTTTTGTATTTTCTTTTTTCAGTTATTAGCTCAACTATTTCCGGTGTCATCCAGTCTTTTTTAGTTATTTTCTCTTCTTCGCCTAGGACCTCCTTTCCCGCTTTTAGTATGGCTTTTTTTATATCTGCCCATTCAACGCTTCCTTCAGTTAATTTATTTATCTCTGCGTTTAGTTGCTGTTGGCAGTTGTCGTCTTTTAGGTTTTTGATGTTAATTTTGGTGGTTTTAACTTTTTTCTCCGGTTTCCTGAGTTTAATGTTGACGTTTGCTAATAATAGATTATGATCCGTATCTGCATCTGCGCTTGGATAGGTTTTTGCACTTTGTATTCCATTACGAAACCTTTTGTTAATCGTTCTAAAATCTCTTTGGTTTCTGATTATATTGTTGGTGTTATCTTTTGGAGAAGTCCACGTGTATAATCTTCGTAGGGGTAGGTCGTAGTATGTATTTGTTATGACTAATTCTTTCTCCTGGCAGTACTGGACTAGTCTGTCTCCTCTTTCGTTTCTTTTACCTAACCCAAAATTTCCTACTATATTTTCAGTTTTTCCTCGACCGACTTTAGCATTAAAGTCGCCCATAATTATTTTTACCTCCTGCTTCTTTATGTTTTTTGTTAACAGTTCTAAGTCCGCGTAGAATTTTTCGACCTCAGCATCATTGCTATCAGATGTTGGAGCATACACTTGGATTAGATTTATATTTAGAGCTTTGGATTTCAACTGAAGTAGCATCATACGTTCGTTAAAGTGAATGAAATTTGTCACAAACTCTTTTAAGTTATTGTTGATAATAATACCAACACCATGGCTGTGTTCTCCAGTGCTTTTGCCTGAGTAGAAAATAGTATTATTATCCTTGGTGTAGTTTCCAGACTTTGGCCATCGGACTTCTGAAAGGCCCAATACTTGTATGTCTAATCTCTCCATTTCTAACATGACTGTTGTTAATTTTCCTGCTTCATAAAGGGGATTCTTCGCACCCCTGTCCCATTAAAGGGACGCCGGGCACTCGGGGCCACTGTTTGATTTACGTCCATTTGTGGTTGTTCTTGAGAATCCTTAGGGATCTTTAATGCAGTAGTTTCTCCTTGCTTTCTGCATCCTTATGCCGTTGATCTTGGTTCATCCGCCTTTGTGATCGATTTCTCAATATCAGGACAAAAGAGTGCCCTTCCACTTACCAACTCATCCGCCCGAAGCCGTTGGTCAGTAAGTGGGGGTTTGCTTATACCGGCAAACATTCGGTGATTTCGCTGTGTCACAACCGGTTAAATCATTATTACCGCCTGTGATTATTCAGTATCAGACCGGTAAAGAGATTTTCTCTACCGCTCCGCTCCTGTAATGACATAGCAGCTGCCCTATGCCATGCTCTCAGTTGATCCGCGGGTGTTTATTTGGCAGAGCCTTATTCACACCTGCCCCACATATCTGTAGGACGTTCCCTATCAGCCATTGGGACGCGCCGTGTTGGGGTTGAGAACTACCCCCCTCCGAGTGTGTTTTCCAAGAAGTACTGAAGAGCCCCTACTCAATTCAGAACTCCTCCTTCCTGGAAACTACACCCGTGCCGGTGTAGTTGAGAACCACCCCCCTCCGAGTGTGTTTTCCAAGAAGTACTGAAGAGCCCCTACTCAATTCAGAACTCCTCCTTCCTGGAAACTACACCGGCACGGGTATCTAGCTACGGAAAGCTCGAAACCGAAGTGGAAGATCAAGTGGATAGGGCAAACAGATCCACAGCCTGCTTAAATGAAACAATATAGAGAAATA